TCTCACACACACACACAACACACACACACACACACACACACACAACACACACACACACTCAAGGAACTTCAGTGTGCAGCAGGTGCGATGATATTACGCAGCGCCTGAAAATAGTCCCCAGCTAGGTAACTTCCAATAAGCCTATTTTCAGGCGCTGAGTAATATCATTGCTCCTGCTGCGCTCATGGTACGGCAGCAAAGTTCCTCGATTATTACGCCGGAATGAGAGTATAGTTCCTAGCCATATCGGCCTAGAAAATCACAACTTTTCATTTTCCGTCGGTTTTAGTACACGATGTAACTACAGAAGAGTCAAGTTTTTAATAGGAAAAATATAGAAACTCTTTGGCCATTTTTGAGCGAGATGCTAACGGTCTAATCAGATTCAATGATCTATGCTAAGCTACAGCTAAAAGTGCCTCCGCCAGACCCGGAGATCGGCTGAATGGATTCGAAAATGGTAAAACTCAACTGTTTAACTCTATGGGAGTTGGAAAATGAGCCTATTTTGAAAAATAGTGGCGTGTTCCTATAAAACAACCACACCCACTGCAAAAACTCCCATCTTCTCCTTCTGTCCCCTCACTGAGAAAATATATAAAATGACTTACACTGAAGAGACAATATTGTCTTTTTTGCTTTATTTTGCTAATGAAAATGGTTCAAACAAAGCCATGTTTTGCATCTCTGCAGCAACACAGCAGTTTCATTACTGAATGAATCAGCATTTTTGAATGAATCAGGTGAGTCAATGATTCACTGAACCTCTGAGATCCGCTAGTGAGCGACGCCTCGTGGTACCATCACAGAGAGGTTTAAAATCACTTTCCTCGTTCACTGTTCCTGGCTGCTGGAACGATCTTCCCACCCCTATCCGGAATGCTGAATCCCTGACAATTTTCAAGCAGCAGCTGAAAACTCATCTCTTTACACACTGCTTGACTTCATCTTAAAAAAAAAAAAAAAACTTAATCTTTCTCTTTATTTATTCCTTCTCTTTCTAGCTTGTACTTATTTGAACAATGTCTAAGAACTTGGTATTACAACCACTTCTTGTGTCTGTTTGCCTCTTTAAGAAGAATCGCTTTATGTATCCCCCAATTGTAAGTCGCTTTGGATAAATACATTTTTACATTTCAATATGAAATGTGTGTGTGTGAGTGAGTGATATATATATATATGCACACATACTTTTAATACATTAAAAAATTAATATATTCATAAACATATTTAAGTTTAAAATAAAAAGTTAAAATTTGAAATAATCTACACATTTATATAAAAATACAATCATATATGCATTTTGTATAACTGAATATACACAATTTTTAAACATCTGAATATAATTAATAATAAAATATATAATTTTAAATCATATACACACACACTTTCTTTTTACAATATAAACATTATTTAGAAATATTATAATTATATTATATATTTAATATATATTATTAAATGTGAACAGATTCATCAGAACACACAAACTGAGCAATAACACGCACCTCGAGCTCTGCCCTCGTCCTCATCCGTCTGACATCATGATGATACTGCTCTCTGATTCGCCGCAGCTGCTTCAGATACTCCTGCAAACACACACACCGATGTTATTTAGCGATCATGAACACACACTCTCTCTCACACACACACACACACACACACACTCTCTCTCTCTCTCTCTCACACACACACTCACACTCACTCACACACACACACACACACACACACACACACACGTCTCGTCCGAAGTGATGACTGACCTCCTGTCCCTGCAGTCTCCTGTCCTGAGCCGCTCTGACGTTCCCATGATGCTCCTGTGGGTTTGTCTGACGGCCTTCAGCGTCTGCTGTGGACGGTCTGAGACCCTGAACACCAGAAACCACAGGCGACTTCACACGCGCTCAGAGCTAGAGATAAACACTTCCTCAAAGCGCAACCGCTCACACAGACAGATGACACAACATAAACTTCAGATGGAAATCAATTCTCTCTGTATATATCTATATATAAGAGTTGAAATATCTATACTTCTGATTTGTTTTCATCTCTCACCAGTTGTTTCTGAGCTCTGAGTTTGTACTGATGGGCTTCACGTCTCCTCTGAAGATACTCGTCTCTCGCCGCTGCCACACTGAACACACACACACACACACACACACACTTACACACTTACAGTACACACTGACTGACCAACATTCATATAAACACTGTTCTGTGATTGAGTGCGACTTCATGAACCAAAGTTTCAACAGTAAATCAGAGTTTATATGAACTGACCACAGATCACACACTCATTCACTCACTCACTCACTCTCACACACACACATACCTGTGTTGTTCGTGGCTTCAGGAGCTGCTGGTGTGTGTCTGTGAAGAACCGTGTGACTGAACTCTTCCTCCAACAGCTGGGATCAAACAGAATGATTTGAGGAGCTCAGAATTGTGAGGATAGATTACAGTGTTGTTTGTGAGGCGGTACCTGTGTGTCCAGGTGTTTGCTGATCTGCTGCTGCAGTAGCGGTCGTTTGAGCAGTGAGTTAGCAGACGGCCGGTCTCGCGGACTGACCTTGAACAGCAGGTGGAGCAGCAGGTGTAGTTCAGAGCTGTAGCGCTGAGACACTGGACTGTAGTGGCCCCTACAGATCCTCAGCACCAGCTGCTTCAGATTACTGCCCTCAAACTACACACACACACACACACACACACACACAGACATTAATGAAGGACAGGAACGATCAGGTGTGTGTGTGTGTGTGTTTGAGGACATAATTTTGTATAATGACAAAGGTATGACATAGGTATTACAAGGAGAAGGTGACTTTTCAGGACATT